TTAATCTCAATACTTCTTTCATTGATCATCATTGGTTAATCTAAATATTTTAGGCTCTTTTTCTTTATTCATTATTCACCAATTTACAAAGTCATTTCTTTGCTCTTTATTCATATTGCTCTTGTGTTAGGAAAATTGAGTCTTCGTCCCTTTGTTTCTTCCTCTCGCTCTTAGAGAGTTTTTCTTTGCCACTAACACCTTTGGCTTGTTTATTTGAGGCCTGGACTCAGATTTCTTTAAAGCTGCTTTGTGATAGCACCCATTGCAAAAACGTACTACTCAAATAAATTTGAACTGAACTGAATTAAAAGGGTTACAATGAGAATTCATGGGAGTGTTCATGTTGATGCGTTGTTAGAGGATTGGTTCAGATGTAATTGATTAGTCAAGACATGTGTGATGTCCAAATTTTGCCTTATTTAGTTTTAAACTGGAGATTTAGGGCTAAGGTTGCCAACAAACACTAGAAGTCAACAGTCACCCAAATCTTTTCCAGAACTTCTCTCAACCGCACAAACTGCATCCCCGTCTTCCATATGGTAGCACAGACTTGTCGATGTGGTTTAGGATGCAGTATGACTTACTGTGAGCTATAAAAATTAACAAAACTTTACTGTGTAGCTGAACACCACAGTCTGTCAACAGGACAACAGACAAAAGGGGTGTTGTGCTGAGTACCGCCACCATTTTATGTACACAATGTCACACATAACTGTTTGAATCGAAAGGAACACGTGTTTAAAAATAAAAACAACAAAAAATTCAAATGACGCAACAAGATAGGTGGCTGTAACATTCATCCACAAAGTGAAGTTCAAAATGTCCTCTAAATAACATCGACAAGTCTGCAAGACCTTAATGAAGAGCTGGATGCAGTTTGAGCAGGTTGATAGAAGTCTTAGATGATAATAAGCAATGTGGTGACTCCAAAGCTGTAAGTCTTTTAGTTGACCTCTCTCAAACCTGCATTATAGATCATGTTTTCAGAATAGTCTTTTAACTTTGAGTAAATGGTTATTATCTATCAATTATGAAGCTCTCTAAATTTGTAGGTAGTTATTTGGCTTCTGAACAGGAATGCCTTTAGGTTGTGGCCCCACCTAAAAAAAAAACAAAAAAACTACAATCGTCACTGGAGCGCACTAGACTCAAGTGCCCTTTCTCTGACCACTGCTGTGGTGTCCTTGATATGGGCACTGAACCCCAAGCTGCTTGAGATTGTAGCAACATGGTTCAGTGAGTTGGGTCATCCTTTCCCCTGACCGCAGCATGGTGGCCCTGAGAAGGTGCATTAAGTGCTCAGTGGCCTCACTGTGGATTTATTTTTTCTTCCTTAACAAAATGACTGTGTACCATATGTTGCTGCTCAACTGCTGAATTGTGCTAATGATTCTTCTGTGCATTTCTAATGAGCATTTGTGTGTTTTAGAGAGACTATTTTGTATAACACTCTTATAAGAAAGCTTCCTTTTTTTCTTAATTCCTTTTTTCACAGTTTTTAGCTTTCTTCTAAAACAAAATCTCTATCTACTCAAAAATAGTTTTGTCAAGTGGTTCCACACAACTATGTTAAGTAGCTTCTTATATAGCTGAATGAATAATACATGCTCAGTGAATTCAAATAAATCAATCAAAGGGAATTGAGGAACTGTCTTGTTCATTTTTATGAATTGTCCGTAGTTTCTTTTAACTTAATATGGTTACGTTCAAATAATGAAATTAATGTTACATCTACATAGTTTAGTTAAGTTGTTATCTACTTCCTATTACCAGATGGGCCTATCACGAGCAAAGAAATGAGCTCGGCTGTAGGGAACATCATAACTCGCTCTTACAGCCAACAGTAAAGAGGAAGGGAAGTTAGCAAGGCAGAATGACAACACACAGAGTATAAGTAAAAAGAGGAGGAAAGACACGTCCAGTATGCAAACACATGGCAGCAGGAGCCAATAAGAAGGAAACTTATATATAAGGATGCATTGACTAAACTAGTAAATCTGACAAGTCACTGTTACATACACTGCCAAAAAATGGTCTCTTGTCAAGTAAAATGATCTTAAAGTTAGTCGATATTATCTAATATTTCCCATTTTGAGATGGTTGTACACTTATTATAAGATTATCTAGCTTATTTCTAGACATGTATTACTTGTTTTAAGTAATTTTGTTAAGTAAAATTATCTCACTATACTGGCAGATCATTTTGCTGGTTTCAAGCACATTTCTGAAAACAAGCAACATTATCTGCCAACATAGTGAGATAATTTACTTGATAAAATTACTTAAAGCAAGTAAAGAATGTCTAGAAATAAGTTAAATAATCTAAAATTAATCTTACAATAATCTCAACAGGAGAAATATTAAATTGTTTGCCTAGATTTGAGAGAGTTTTACTTGATGAGACACCGTTTTTGCAGTGTAGATGACTTGAACAAAAGAGAAATTCTTAAAATGGTTTACACCACTTGAAAATAGTATCCGCCCTTTACATTTGTGTTTGGATTATTGTAATGCATTGTTCACTGGCTTACTCAAAAAGAGTACAGACATACAGCAGCTTGTACAGAATGCAGCCACATGAGTTCTTACTCAAACATATGAGTCCAGTACTGGCTGCATTTCACTCACTGTGGAGCTACCTGCTCTATACATAATAAAATTTATGGTCCTTTTATTAGTTTTTAATGTACTAGCTCCTTCTCATATGCCAGAATCAGGGGCATCTCTAGGCCAGTTTTAGGGGGCTTTATTTTATTTAGCCCCTCCAAATAAATGTACATTATTAATTCAAATCGTCAACATTTTTTCTCATTCATTATATAGCTGTGCCATCATGAATTCACAATATTCTATCATAGTTGAGTGTAAACTGGTGGAGGCACTGCTACAGCTCTAATGCAGCGCTGCCTCAACTCAGCTACCAGAGATTTACTAACATAACAGAAGAGCAGACAGCAGTCCTCTGCTGTTTAGTGTTGGAGAAAAGTGTAACCCCGGCTCGGCACATCATATCAGACCTCGAAAGTTCATATGGGGGCGGGGCTCTCATTAATGTCAGCCAATATTAACATTAATGTTAGCGAGCTATTTTAGTGTAAGTGTGGTGGTGATTTCTCTGAAAACTAATAACAGTAGGTAACCACTGAAGGTGTGAGAGGATTTTGGCTAAAAGCTAACCGAAATAAACATCAGGCGTTATCCAAAACACATCACATACAGAATGAAACAGTAAGTTATACAGTGAAAATGCTTGCCTACAGTACAGATTTGTGACAAATTATGGTCAGTATAGCTGTCTATTGAGTTTTTACCACTTGCTTCTTAGCTAACATTAGCTAACTTTAGGTTTAATTCACGGGGGTAAAGTAAGAAGATAGGTCATTTATCATTATCATTAGCCAGCTGTTTTAATGTAAGTGAATTTTAAGAAACTTCACAGATATTGAGAGTGTGAACGAGTGAAAGACATAGAAATAACGTTGTGACAGCTCTTTATATTCTTTGTGTTCATATTTCTCTTCAGTGTTTGAAACAGTGACATCATTAGTAGCCGCGGACTGTCACTTACAGTATGATAATGTCAGTGAAAAGGTCACGCAGTGTTCCTCAACCTGCAGATCGATATACAGAATTTCTTTAAGAGAGGCGACAGCTCTGCTAAAGGGCAGACAGGTAAGAAGATTTTTGCCAGTTAAAATAAAAACCAGATCAGATTGATCTTTTGTTAAGCCTTAAATTCTTATAAGTGTGATTTTAATAAAACGTGATCTTAAGCAGGCAAGGTGAGGCCAAGAAATAAGCTAAAGGAGTCTGACAGGGCTGAAGGAGCAGGTCTGATCAGGTACTAATCTATAGCTTGTGTATTTGAATAACATGTTTTAGTACTGCTGCTTGATCTGTGCCTGTTGTGAGTGGATGGTGGAAGTATTTAATCCCTTAAAATTCCAGGCTTGTGACATGCAAAAGATTATATTTCAATAACTACATGGAATACAATGCAAGCTAACTGAGTTACTCTTAACTTAAAGAAGAGTGTAGTAAAACTTTGGGCCTACCGGTAGGCCCCGGCCGTTTAAGGTTTAGGACATATTAGGACACATATCTGTCCCCTATACAACAAACTATAAAGAGGCAGGTCTTGTTTCTTCTCAGTGACACCAAATAGTCATATTTTTGATGAATAATTCTTTGCCTATTGCTAATCTAAAGGTTCATGATAAACAAGTAAACAAAGACAATTTGGAACCCTAAAAGACCCCCCCCCCCAATAAAGTTTAAGCCCCCCCATCCATTGATCTCTAGTGACACTCCTGGTCAGAATGTCTAAATAAATATGCTCAACAATGATGTGTGATATCATCAAACACAGAATTACTTAAAACACAAAGGTTAAAACAACCAAGCTGTGGAACTGCCTCCCACAATTTGTATGACATGCATGTTCAGTTAGCAATTTTATGATGTCATTTGACTTTTTACAAGCAAATATTTGTTTAAATTTTCATTTTGTTTTGATTTTTAGATTTTAAAATCTTTTTTATTATGTGGTACAATTTCTTGTCATTCCATTTAAGCATGATCTTATCTTTTATATTTTTACAGTTACTTTTACATTTTTTTTCCTTCCTTTTATCAATGTTTTTCATTTCTCCATTTTCTACTTCTCTTATGCTGGCTTTTATTTGCCTTTGTCATTGCAAAGCTTTTTAATCTGCATTCTATGGCATGAAAGATGTTGTATACAAGCATTTGTTCTTCTTATTATTATTATTATTATTATTATTATTATTATTATTATTACTACATAGCATGAACAAATCATGATAAATTGACCAGTAGATGTGTAACTGTAGATGTGTAAGTGTAGTATGTCATATTAACAGATGTTTTCAAGAACATTTTTTTTCTTTCTCCTATAAAGTCACTATTTTGGAGTTGCTCTTACAGAATGACAGTCTGGTATGTGTTAAGCACTGATAGGAATGAGCTGAGTGTGGTACCTGCTTCCTGCATCCTGTTTAAGTGGATGCTAGAATCAGCACAGATTTGCTCCAGGCTACGCAGGCCTCTGCGGTACCACTTCTCTGCTGTTTTGGGTCCAACTCCAAACACACTGGTGAACAGCTGTTACACACACAAACACGTACACACACACACACACACACACCAAACAATTCATGGCAACACTGGAGCTTTATAAAGAAGTTCCTGCAGAACAAAATTTTAATGATGGTATTTCACACACGTGTACATGCAAAGATACTCAACATACATAAGCACACAGATGTATTTAAATAATGTTTGAATAATCACTACAACCTCTGACAGTTTACTAACTACACCATGATATTGATTTCTAACAGGAGAAAAAGCTGTGAAGATCTACATTGTCTTTATTATTGGAGAAACAATAAGAAGTGGAGGAGTCCAGTGTTTTTGTTTGAAGGGCAGCACTTCTATGATCATTTGTTTCTTTCTTTTCCCCTTCACAAAACATCAATACATCTGATCTTTCATTTCTCTATAAACAACAAATCACCTTCACATCTCAGCAACTGACCTTCAGTGTTTGATATCTCTCATCTGCTAGTATGCCTTCAACCCTGGAGGACGATCCACATTCAAAGATCTCCTGTAAGAGACACATACAGAAAACAAAAAGCTCTTCATTTCTCATTTATAAACAGGCAGTTCTATTTGTGTCTAATCACTATACACTGAGTTGTTAATTTATTTGGTACAACCAACTTGTATTTACACTCATTTATCATTTTATCAGGTACACTTATCATATAGGTGCACCTTACTAACAGTAGCTTGCACAACTTATCAGCCCCCTGTCCTCTCAATAAATGGAAAGGGACAACCAGATGTTATTTGGGTGGTTCACAATTCTCAGCAACACAATAACACTCACATGGTAGTGGCATGTACATGTTGCGCTAGAAACTCATAAAAAAAAACAATCAAGTTTTGAGGCCTTAGTAAGTAAGTAAGTGATAAAAGTTTATTTATATAGCAGTTTTCACACACGAAAGTCACATGTGCTTTACGGAGACATTACACAACATAAAAGAATACAGATACAAAGTAAATAGGAAATGCAGACCTGGTCCACACTAATTACCTAAACGCCTGTTTAAAAGAATACGTCCTTAGCTGCTTTTTAAAAGATTCCACAGAATCAGCAGACCTTAAAGGAGTGGGCAGAGCTTTCCACAGTTTAGGTCCGGGCTCGGCAACACGCAGCTCTGGAGCTGCATGCAGCTCTTTTACTGCCCTGTTGTGGCTCCACAGCAGAATTAGATTTTTAGAAAAAATAAAATAATCCTCTTTTGCAGTAAAATACAGCTCTGCTGATCGCTCTAACAGAGTTTTAACAATAAATAGTCTTAAACCCTGGAGTTAATGTAGCCTGGATCTGCTATTTCACCACCCTTTAACCCTGAAGACTGGCATGCAGTGCAGATTTAAGGTGGATAATTGATAATTTGGAGACGAATGGACTTTTTTGCATTTATAATCACTCCAGCTGGTTTTCCAATACGTTTAATCTGCAATGAGAAACTGTCAAACACCAAAAAGTCACAAAGCTGAAGTCAGCTTCTTGTTCGAGTTACATTCTGGCGCCTCAGGCACCATATAAGGTGAAACGGGACACTTCAAACAAGAAGCTGGCGAATGAGAAGCTGACTTCAGCCTCGTAAAAAGTCTAACATCGAGAGACATTTTACAAGGAACTATTCCACTTTTGCAGAGAAGTTTCTTGCTGGGGATGCGAGAAAAGCAGCTATAGCTGAGCTAAAGCATAAAGCAAAGTAAGTCTGCATTTTTTGTTTATATTATATTTTTAGCCTGTGCCATCAGCACTTACTGAGACATATTTACAGCTATGATGGTAAAATGGACAAAAAATGCTGTGGCTCTCAAAGTGGTTTGATTTTTGTTAAAAGGACAAAATGACTCTTCCTAACATTTGGGTTGCCGACCCCTGGTTTAGGTGCTATGACCTCAAATGTTCAATCACCACGGGTCTTTAAGCAGGTGCGTGGAAGAGACAGTAAATGTAACTTATTTGACCTAAGAGAACAAGCTGACAAATGAGGGTGAAGTAGATCAGCCACATATGCAAGAGCTTGCATGTGAAGTGCTCTGTAGGTAAGAGTAAGAATTTTAAACTGGATCCTACATGCAACAGGAAGCCAGTGAAGGGATATCAACAAAGGGCTTATATGAGACCTTCTGTTAGACCCAGTAAGCAGCCTTGCGGCAGCATTCTGAATTGCCTGCAGACGATCAAGTGAAGACATACTAAGTAAGGAAAAAGAACATTACAGTAGTCAATGTAAGGATGAAATAAAGGTGTGTACAAGCATTTCCAGCTCTGCATTTGAAACTACAGATCTCAGTTTACAGTTACTGTAAAAAAAAAAAAAGATCTTTACAAGAATTATATTATGATCTATTTAAACCCAAGGCATTAATCAAGATAGTAATAAGCTAAATATATACAAAATCATAATTTATAGGGTACTTTCTGTTGGGAGATGTCTGTCCCAAACCCTAACCCCTAAAATTCAACTTGTGAAAATACTACTTACATTGCATTTGTTAGTGTGTTTGTTTTGATCTTTTTTTCTTCTGAACTCTAAAAACAGTGTGTAACAGTAAGAATTGTCTTTATCAAACACATATTTTCTGCAATTAATTTAATTTTTTGGTGTGTTTTAGTAAAAATAATTTTATGATTTTATGTGTGTACAACTGTTTAAAGCTGTATTTTCTAGTCATGTACTGGCTAACGTTTTCAGTTATGCTCAAAATTAGCTAAAATTGTCACTATTGAAACATTCACTACCAAAACACTCAAAGCAAATGGTTTGACCTGTGTACTGCGCAGTGTGTTTGTTGTTCTTTGTTAGAATTCAGCTCTCTGACTCTCGCCTGCATGCAACACTTTTCAGTTCAGGCACTGCATTCTGATTACCACTGACGGCTCCAGGCCTCCAAAACCGACAGACCAAATTCACACACACACTCACAAGCTCACACAGTAACATACGCAAACACACACAACTCACACTTTCCTTTCCTCACGCATCACACACTGAGGCTCCTTGACTGTCACTGACGTCTTTCCACATGACATCTGTTTGTTTAGCTCGTTTGTTTTTTACAGTTTAACTTATTTTAACATTTAATTTCAGTTTTCCTTGTATTCTTCCATGATAAACAGAGTGAATGGTGTCAAGCATTTTGCTATTTTTTGTTAATTGACAAAAATGATGAGACAAACTGAAGCAAATCAATTCAACTAGGAGGTAATGAATGCAGCATTTATTGAGAGATGTTTTATTGAGTGTCTATGTGCTTAAATTGACAGTTTGGCAAAAAATTTAAAATACAGCACAGGAGCTACAAAGCTAATGTAGTTAACACGTTATGCAATCTTATATTCCACCAATGAACACTGTAAACTGCATTACTCACACACACACACCTCAGACCATACAGGTTCTTAACAGTTGTTAAGAAATCTCAGATAGACTTGATGACAAATTTGGCACTCTTTTACTACAAAAGATAAAGAAAAGTTGTCAAAGTGTCAAAGCAAATATCTACTTCTGTGCATAAAGCCATCACAGGTAAGATAGAAATGGCCCATTTGTCCTTGCCCATGGCAAGATGCTTCAACCTAGGTTGCTTAATGGTTTAGGTTTTCAAGTTTAGGTGTTGTTCTTCCTTGACATCTGTCTGATTTGAACTCAGATTTCTGCTTTATAGTATAAATAGTTTATATATAGGGTGTTGCAGTGTTTTTATATATGTGAATCCAGCATTCCGCTTGATGTGTACACAATATTTCTATTGTTTTGTATCACTGTAAGGCGGAATTGTTGAAATAGGTTTAATTCCAACTGCACTGCAGGCAGCAATGAGCTATAGCTTGATGTCACGACATTGCGTTTGGAAAATGTAACCTATCCCTAAGGAAAAAAAAATTAGTTGGCCAACTTCCTTTTTCACAGGCCTATCCAAATATTTAATTCTGCTTATGCCACTGTGTTACATGTAGTAGGTATATCTGAATGGGCAGTCATATGTAAAGGTATCCACAGTTGCGATGATGACCTCAAAACGGCCATGATGACCTCAAAACGGGCTGTTTTTGCAGTTCAAAAGTAAATGTTTAAACTCTTAACAAAGTCTAAATCAAGGTATCTTAACTGAGAGAGAGAAACAATAGACGTTTGAGCGTAAGAGATCTTGGGGAAAGACTATCAGTCAAGTCATTTTCAGATTGAGGAGTTATACTGCACCTCTATGACGGTCTTGCTCTCCTCTCCCAGACAGGGCAGGCCCTCTGCATCCTGCAGGCAGCTCAGTGCAGTGGTCAAGCTCTTCAGCACAGATGCTGCCCTCCGGAAGCCCAAACACGGACCTTTACTGTCATTGAACTCATAGTTCTCCGCCAGCACCTCCAGTGCATCCTGAAGAAATATACACAGGTGAGAAGGAGGTGGAAGGGAATGAAAGAAAGTGCAGGAAGAGAGTTAAGAAAAAATAAAACCAGAGAACTATAATAAATAATGACACCCAGGGAAAGTAAGTGTGTAGAAAGATCAATCACAAGTGGTAAAAATGTAAAAGGCTCATATCCTGAACTTTTATTCTTTTTCATTTTTTCCACCTTAGGTCCACAAATAACATTTACGTGCTTTTATGTACCAAAAGCAGGTGTAATTTATTTTTTCATGACCATTTTCCAACTTTTCTTTATCCCCTAAAATTAAACAGACTGTTTTTGTTACTCATATATGTAAATGAGCTCTGTTCTAATTGGTTGCTCTGTATTGTGCCCCATTCAAGAAGCAGTCCTGGCTGAAAAACTCCTTAAAACTTCAGAGTGAATGGGCAGAGCTAAACTGCTGTACACCGAATAGGTGCATATATGTAAAGATGTTGGTTTCCATGAATCAGCTGTTTTCCATATACGGGTCTAAGGAGTGAATGCTGTTGTAGCGTTGCCACAAAAGAAGACAACATTGTTTATTTTCAACAGACACGTCATCAAAGCCAGCCCAGCCCAGCGTTCTTCCAGCACAAAACACAGGGAGGACACAACGTACAAGGTGGGTAGACACTTCCAACACACTAAGCCCAGCTTCCTCTGACACATTTCCAATAAACAGTAACTACTTCACTAATAATGACAACAACAATAACTGTCCTTTTTAACCAGGAGTGTGGCGCACCCTGAGAGCTACTTTGCATGCACCCCCCAAGCTTCCCATGGCAGCGCAGCCCATGACAGATGCCACAGTATGTTTTAAAACCTTTACCAAGTTTATGTACTCTCTTATCTCAAGAAAGCAAGGAAAGCTCTGTTTTCCATGATATGGTCCCTTAATAGACACATGCAGATGACAAAAAAGTGTGGATTTCATTGCAGTCAGATCAAAACTTTGTCCTTTTACATTGTAGTATATTAAAGCTTACAGTTACCATATGTGGTTTGTTCTGATAGAAACAATACAGCAGGCAGAGAGAATGAGAGAGAGAGAGAGAGAGAGAGAGGGAGAGGGAGAGGGAGAGAGAGACAGAATTAATGTGTCAGATACGTGCCCATACTCCATAAGCACTGACCTGACCAGACAGGGATCAAAGAACAGGCTGGAACACATTCTTTTCTTCTTCCTCTCACTCTCTCTCCCTCCATCCTCCCGTTTCTCTCTCTCTCTCTCTCTCTCTCTCTCTCTCTCTCTCTCTCTCTCACTCTCCCTCCCTCTCCCCCTCTCTACCTATCTTACTCTCTCTCGGTCTGTTGTGCCAGGGCGTCTTCTGGATGACCGCACAGCAACATGCGGCTTTGTGAGTGCCGGAAAGGGACCTGTCATTTTCCACTTGTTCACAACATCTTCTCCCAGGGGATAACACACACACACACACAAACACACACACAAACACACCTAGAAACACCTTTCTTCTTCAAAACACGTGGGTGTTCATTTGGTTGTTTTTTGAGAATGTTGATAGAAAGTACATTTGTATGAGTGTGTGACTTTGTGCTAATCTTTAGAATTGTGTGTGTGTGTGTGTGTGTGTGTGTCAAGCCAAAATGAATGGTTTACTACAATGCAAATCATAGTTTGTAAATGCTTGATTGTTTTTAGACAGAGAAATGCACTAGCACAAAAAAATTCATTCATTGGACTTCCTAATAGTTCCTAATAGTATCTTGTGTTTGTTCATGGCATCAATGTGAGTGGACCATTTTACTCGGCCAACAAGCTGATCAGCCGACCAATCTGCATTCAGGAGCAGTAATGTTAGCTTCCTATGGCCCAAAACCTAAAAGTGGAATGGAAAAATACAGGTACAATTTTCTTTCGATTTTCTAAATGAAATATATCCCTCTACTTTCCAAAATTAAAACAAGGTCTTGCACAAATGTCTATAAATAAGTTTCCTTTTTTGTTTTTAGCTACATTCACCCCTATTCACTGAGGACTCGCTCATAGGTGCCCTCTAGCGTTTTTCAGTGATATATTCATGTGTTTTCTTGTTGCATGTGCACAGCACATAGATATACATACCTAGATGCCATGTTGGGTCCACCCAGGCACGTCAACGGCGCCACCATTTTGCGGCGGTCAACATCACTGCTGGACTGCGTTCAGTACCATTACAGAGCAGCAGTTTAAGAAAGATACTGTCCAAAATTATACTATTTTAAGAATATTGCGCTCAGAAAGTGGGATAGGATTATATAACGGAGGGAACGCAGCGATCCACGCTCATGTTTGTGTGATGTGTGTTGTTTATGTGATGTTTATGGCTGTGTGGTTGGTGAGGCACAGAGAATCTGTTGATGTGATTGTTTTTCCTCTGGTTTTATATTAAGCTTATGTCATTTAATACTCTATTCAGGGAAGCTTAACTTCATATAGTAGTTATTTATTTACAATGATGGTTAATGCTTCGTAGCTAAGTAAGTTATAGCATTCCTTAAACCGTGTAGATGTTCATAATAGATTAACGTTAGCACCTTCTTACATGAAGCTGAAGTTAGCTTCTTATTCGCCAGCTTCTTGCTCGAATTTTCCTGTTACACCTTAAAAACAAGTAGCTGGCTGATGCACCAGCTAGGCTGAGGAACCCAGTCCAATAAGCATAACATTTAGTAGGCAGCTAGCTCCTGTGTTAACTAGCTAATTTGTTGTGTTAGTGTCCACTTGTAGCATCATTTTATTTGTAACAATTGACTACAAGCTAAACCATTAGCACCACCATCAGGGCGAGGCTTTGGGAAGAAACCTGAATTAATGGTCTGCATTTGTTTGCCTGTTGAGTTTGAAAACAGCTAGCTTTAGCTAACTTCTATTACCAATGAATGTGTTTACATGCACTCAATAATCTGATCATAATCAGATTTCTGCAGTTATATGATTATTCAAATATAAACAGAATACTCCTATTTCCCGATCAGAGGTAAGGTCTAGAAATCTGATTAAGAAATTGGATAAAGAGAGCTGGATTTTAGCTCAGTAATCACATTTCTCAGTGCATGTAAACTCTTACTCTGATTTCTTTCAACAAAAAACACTTTTGGAATGATGCCAAAATCTACTACATGCTTGACGAAATAAAGGATTTTAATAGTCTTCATCTCCTAGATAATATATGTTTATATTTTCAGGTAAAGTTGCACAATGATTAAAAAAAAAAAGCTGCGGCATGAAGTTTGCGTTTTACATTACGTTTACGTCACATCATCTTCTGTGAGTTTACTGGCCAGTTGTAAAGCAGACATCTGATTACTGCTTGACTCGTGAAGACCTGGAGTTTCACATTATCTGATTACCCAAGTGCATGTACACACGTTAATTGGATTACTGACAAAATCTGATTTTCCACAGTTACCGGATTATTAAGTGCATGTAAACACACTCAGTGAGTACACCTTTTAGCATAATCTCCTAGTCTGGTCTGAGTTTTGTTATTTTTACTCTGCTTTCTCTTTTATATCTTTATTGTTTTTGGCCATCCCAGAACCCCCTTTTTGTATACATTTTGTGAATCCTGTGTTGAATTTGTGAATCAAATTTTGCACATTTTTTGGATCGCAACACACTATTTTTGTTTTTCTATTACATGCCATGTTGTGCTCTTATGGCTTCATTCTGCTAACAGTTACATAGACCAGTGGTTCACAATCCTGGTCCTGGAGAACCAATTCCCTGCACAGGTTAGTATTTTCAATACTCTAATACACCCAGTTCAACTCATGGAGGCCTTCCTTGGCTGGTGAACTGAAACAGGTGTGTTGGGAGCAGGGAAACACTAAAATGTCTGGTGCAGAGAGGCTCCAAGTCCAGACTGAGAACCACTGACATATACTGCACAGTTATGTCAGTAAATTGATATGCAGCCATACTGGAGAAACCTATTTGGACATAAATCCTTGACACTTTCACATTCTCAAATAATCACTCATACCACAGGTAATATTGACACAGAATCTTAGGGACACAAGTTCACGCCTGGCCAGACACATTAAACCACTCACAAACTTCACTCTGGACATAGATCTAAGAGCAGAGACACTTATAGGTGATGGGGAGGTTGGTTGGTAGCAGCATTCACTGCTCACACTTCACTGAAACAGTAGTCATATTAGATGCGCAGTGAAATGGCAACAAGTTTAGGATTATTTGGAAGCAAGCTTTCTTTGGGCTGATGTGTGGAAAATGCTGACAGCAACTGAGAGAAAAGCTGTGAATGGAAATGGCATAAATAACATATTTGTAATGGCGTGACAAGACTGGCAGGAAAGCTCAGCGGTGGTCTGCTAATACTCAATGCTCCTCCTGCATTTTCATCTTAAACTCCCATTTCACAAGTGAAGATTTTCATATAATGTTATAGGATAGATCAGGGATGTCAGACTCCAGTCCTAGAGGGCCAAACACTTTTAGAGCTGCCAAAAGATGTTAAGACATTTCTGACACCCCAGTCAGACAGCATGCTAACTCTGTATGCTGTGGAGTGGTGCAAGGCCCGATTTTGCGAGATTGAGCTGATTTCAGTGTGTTCAGTTGATTAATGATGACTGATGGGAATGTTTACTAGTTAGACATAAAATACAAACCAGGGCAAAGCTGACACTGCAAACATGACAAGACTGCAAAAAAACAGAGTTTAGAGTATCTTTGTCTGAGGGGACGGCTGGCCAGTCGCTCTATCGCAGTGTCAAGCTAGATGAATGGTTGAAAGTGGCAGCATGGGCTGCTTAGTCTAGCTCAAAATCAGCAACCAATGACTGCATGTGTTAAGTGTATGTCTGCATAATAATATGCAGATGTAATCTTGGAGTAAGTAGGCAGTGCATGAAATATGCAGGAATTAATAAACTGCTACACTGATGTGCAGATTGTGGGACTAAGCATGTCAGAAAGTGATGATGAACTGCTGATGAGAAGCAGTTTAT